GGCCACTGCGCCTAGTACTCTTCTCCTTCCTCGGCCTCTGCTTCCACGGAGTCCACGCCCACCTCTTCGTAATCCTTCTCCAGCGCAGCCAGGTCCTCCCGGGCCTCGGAGAACTCCCCTTCCTCCATGCCTTCGCCCACGTACCAGTGCACGAAGGCGCGCTTGGCGTACATAAGGTCGAACTTGTGGTCCAGGCGAGCCCAGGCCTCGGCGATGGCCGTGGTGTTGCTCAACATACACACGGCACGCTGCACCTTGGCCAGGTCTCCCCCGGGGACCACGGTGGGGGGCTGGTAGTTGATGCCCACCTGTCAGACAAGGGGAAGGTCAACTTTATACCGGTTTCAAGAAAGACAAGCTAGCAGCCAGGGACTTGTGAACGGTGCCCTCTCTCTACCCCACCACTCCCCCCCCCAAGCCATTCACCTGGCCTAACCCCTGTATCTGGAAATAGAATGTTTGGGAACAGTTTTTTATATTGTCCGTGAGGCCTTACCAAATTTGGGTGGGTCCTAAACCTAGTCACTTCTGAGTCGTGTGTAAAGGACAAACAACACAAAGACACATCAGCCAGAGTCAAAGGGCCAAGGATAGAAGGCGCAGGCATCAGAAACCAAGAGGGGCCTTCACCCCCACACTGTTGTTGATGGGAGAACCAGGTGAGTTCTATGGAATTGTCTTACCAAAGCCAACCGAGGGACAGACAGTGCTTCTGGAAGTGCTTCTCAGACACAGAGAATGGAAACCTACCCCGGTGGGTGAGAATTAAGGGATACTTTCAGGGGAGTTAAGTACATTGTGCAGTTGAGTTTATATTGCTTTGCTTTGAATTGATAAACTTTAGAGGTTGAAGCGGGCCTGCCAGATGGCCAGCACAGGCTCTGGCCATAGCAATTGGGCAAGGACATCTTGGTGCTAGCTCACCTGTCCTTTTCCATCTGGGATGATGGGATAGGCCTGGTCTCACTATCTCGCCAACCTCAGAGGACTTCCTCGGGGCTTACTAACTGTGAGGCTCAGCGGCTCCCCTCATGTCGGAGCTTTGTGTAACACACTCAGTATGGACAGGGGCTTTGCACAAAGAAGGGCAGAGAGGTGAAGGGACTTCGCCTGATAATCACAAGGGGTCATCAAGGGACGTGCTTTCTACTGGTAGATAGTTCCCTGTGAGACTGAAGATGCCCGAGGGAGCCACCGAAACAGCGTGTGCTGTGCTGTGCGAACTACTGTCCCCAGCCGGGGTGAAGAAACAACAGCCAGCTGGCCTCACCCTAGGGCAACTCTGCACAGTGAATTCTAATTACTGTCTCTTTACTGAAGCCACCTGTGCCTGAGACACCACTGCGAACACACATTGACACCGCCCACAGACAGCAGGGGAGCGAGGTGGAGGACAGACAGCAATTTCCGACATTCAGGCCTTACAGACGTCCCACCTCTGTCCGCTAAGGGGTAATTAAGGTAAAGTCTCACCACCCAGTGAACCGTCGTGCAGGGCACTTTTAAGACCTTAGGGAGAGAAGAGCCATCGATCAAGTACAGGCCCTTAAATTACGTTCTGACTTGGTTCTCCCTTCGGCCTAGCTGCTGTGGAACAGGGACCTTCTTCTCCAGAGTGGGGTCCTGGGGGACACTGTGTTCCCACAGACTCTGCTGCTTCCTGCCGGCCCCAACACTGACTACCCATGCCGCCTACCTTGAATCCAGTTGGGCACCAGTCCACAAACTGGATGGTGCGCTTGGTCTTGATGGTGGCGATGGCCGCGTTGACGTCTTTGGGGACCACGTCCCCCCGGTAGAGCATGCAGCAGGCCATGTACTTGCCGTGGCGAGGGTCACACTTGACCATCTGGTTGGCCGGCTCAAAGCAGGCATTGGTGATCTCGGCCACAGAGAGCTGCTCGTGGTAGGCCTTCTCGGCCGAGATGACCGGGGCGTAGGTGGCCAGGGGGAAGTGGATGCGCGGGTAGGGGACCAGGTTGGTCTGGAACTCGGTCAGGTCCACGTTCAGGGCGCCGTCGAAGCGCAGCGAGGCCGTGATAGAGGACACGATCTGGCCGATGAGCCGGTTGAGGTTGGTGTAGGTGGGCCGCTCGATGTCCAGGTTGCGCCGGCAGATGTCATAGATGGCCTCGTTGTCCACCATGAAGGCGCAGTCCGAGTGCTCCAGGGTGGTGTGGGTGGTCAGGATGGAGTTGTAGGGCTCGACCACGGCCGTGGAGACCTGGGGCGC